CCCCCCCCTAAGAACTCGTGAACGGTATGTCGTATGACCACCAAATTTTCAGAGAATGGTGTACTAGTAAAAATTTATCACATCTACAATTTTTATGTCGTTATGACGTAATATGACGTCATTATGACGTCATTAATGTGATTTTATTGGCCAAAACCGTCTAAATAGGTTTTTCCCTGAAAACTAAATGGTATTCAACATAACTGTACCAAAAGTGTTTATGACAGAATATTAGGGTGTACTAAGTCTTATGTTGCCCATAGCAACACCGGTGACGTCATAAAATGACGTCATGCATATTTAAGATATCCGCCATCTTGGATCATCAATCTTGAATTTTCACAAATAGTTTTTTTTTCATGATAAAGCCTAAAATACACTGTAAACATACTAAAGACCTTCATTTACACCTTTTTTGGAAAAAGAAATGGAAGTATTGATGAAATTTTAATGAAAATAACATGTACATACCCGTTTTAATGATATGGTCCGCCATCTTGGATTTTGGCCAATGACGTCATCAAATTAGCATAAATTATGCATATTCAATGATGAAATTTACATAAAATTATCAGGGATGTTATTAATATTAGAAACCATGAGTAACTTGACATAAAACCCATAAAACTCTATTGTTCAAACAAAAAGTACTAAATTTAGCAAAAAATGCCTGTCAGAAACCCGTTGCCATGGCAACACAAAAAATTATTATCTTATTCCAATGATAGAGAATTGTTGGCAACAATATTCTATGAAAAGTCACCAAGTTTGGCCGTTCTACGGCTAGCCGTTCAGACGCTAGGTGACATCAAAGTTGCCGCGGGCACTTTGAGCCCCCCCCCCCCGGTCTAGGTAGGGTTAAGGCAGGCACATTTCACAATCTGCCCCGCCTATCACATGTGAAACTGGACAAAAACCAGATAACAATGATTCAGGCAGGCGCATTTGAAAGTCTACCGCAGCTTCAAGAATTGTACTTTAACAACAACCAGATAAGGCAGATTCGGGTAGATATATTTCAAAATATCCCCGGACTAAGATCTTTACACCTGCACAACAACAAGATAAGAATGATTGAGGCACGCACATTCCAAAACCTACCGCAAATACAAAAGTTGTACTTGGACTTCAATCAGATAAGAATGATCCAGACAGATATGTTTCAAAATGTACCAGGACTACAACGATTAACCCTGAACAACAACCAAATAACACTGATCAAGTCAGGCACCTTTGAAAATCTACTCAAACTGTTCGAGTTGCGCCTGGGCCACAACCAGATAGAAATGATTCAAGAAGATTTGTTTCAAAACCTACCCGGACTAAAAACATTAGACCTGTCCAACAACCAGCTAACAATGATTCAGAAGGGTACATTTCAAAATCTAGCGAATCTGCAAATTCTGGATCTGTCCCAAAACCAGATAATAATGATTCAGAAGGGCACGTTTCAAAATCAAGCGAATCTGAAAATTCTGGATCTGTCCCAAAACCAGATAACAATGATTCAAAAGGGTACATTTCAAAATCTAGCGAATCTGCAAATTCTGTATCCGTCCCAAAACCAGATGACAATGATTCAGAAGGGTTCATTTCAAAATCTGGCAAATCTGCAAAAGCTGTATCTGTCCCAAAACCAGATAACAATGATTAAGACGGGTACATTTCAAAATATGCCTAATCTACAAAAGCTGAACCTAGACTACAATTGCATAACTAACATCACTCCTAATGCATTTAAGAATCTGCCCAAGCTCCAATGTTTGGACCTTCAGTCAAACCAGATGTCTGTCATTCCCCCTTCAGCGTTTTACTTGTTGCCATCGCTTCGTACCATTCAACTTGCCCATAACCCTTGGCGGTGTGACTGTAAGATGGCCCCCTTCAGACTAAATGTCACTAAACTTTCTATAATTAAACAACACCAGATAATATGTGCCCAACCCGACAAATTTTGGGGAAAGAGGCTTACAGATGTTTGTGATGAGCCAACCGTTTCACCACTAACTGAACGCAATGCTATCCCATTAGCATATCCTGTCACACTGCCACTTGTTCACCCATTAGAAAGTGCGAATGAAGGTTGCGATGTCACAGTCACCTCTCGGTATCACTGGTTCTTTACACGCAATGTTGCCTCCACAGCGCGTCCTGCAGGCAACGGGAGCAGAGCAACACCAACACTAACTCCGCCCCTTGTAATCACTTCAGACAAACCAGAATCTGATTCCAGTTCCTCTGCACTTTTTAACTTTGGAGCTGTCGGTAGCACAGTTTCTAGCTTTGCCATGATCGGTGGCACCATCTTTCTCATAGTGTGGTGCAAGAAGAGGATCAGGCATCCTCCATTAGGCCTGAATCCTGGTATTGTTGTTGGCGGCAACACAAACACAGCAAATGTTCATGATAACCAACAGGAAGATATTAACAGTAATTGTGATCATACAGGGCAGAGTCGGTCTCAGCCCAGCAATGAATCCGAAACAAACACCCCAGCTGTTGTACTGGCCAGTGGTGATGATCAGACAGGGCAGGCTCAATCTCCGACAGTTGCAAATCTGTCACGTAACAAAGTGCTAGCAGCCATAAAGCCAAATCCTATGTATCCAGATGTGGAAACAACACCTAAATCTGCAGGAATAGCCAGTAGTCATGATCAGGCAAGGCAGGGTCAGTCCAATACCATCACTGAATCCACACACACCTATACAGTAATGGTCAGTTATGATCAGCCAGGGCAGGGTCAGTCTCATGTCATCACTGAATCCAACACACACACTACATGTGCCTCAGTAGCCAGTGGTAATGATCTCTACTATGAGGATGTTGATAACCATCGCGTTAAGACAGGGCAGGGTCAGTATCAGGCCATCACTGAATCTCTGGCTGCTAGAAATCTTTCTTATGGCACTGGATCGACTGTCTCGGAGCGAAATGCTCTGTACAAAAGCGTTTAGCAACTTAAATGACAAGTATAGTAATGTTCAGACAGTCTTAAACTATCACTGAATCCAAACGAAACACCACAGCCACTGTAGTCATGATAAGACAGGGTAGGGGCTAGCAATTTCAAATCTGTCACGTAACAAAGTGCTAGCAGCCTTAAAACCAAATCCTATATATGTAGATGTGCAAAAACCACAAAAGGACCCCGAAATAGCAGTAGTCATGATCAAGCAGGGCAAGATCAGTCTAATGCCATCACTAAATCCAACACAAACACCTATACTGTAATGGCCAGTAGTCATGATCAGACAGAGCAAGATCAGCCTCATGCCATCACCGAGTCGAACACACACACCACATGTGCCGCAGTAGCCAGTGGTAATGATCACTATAATGAAGATGTTGATAACCATCGCGTTAAGACAGGGCAAGATTGGTCTCATGTCTTCACTGAATCCAACACACACACTACATGTGCTGCAGTAATCAGTGGTAATGGTCACCACTATGAAGGTGTTGATAACCATACGTGTTAAGACAGTGCGGGGTCAGTCGTAGGCCATCACTGAATCTCTGACTGCTAGAAATCTTTCTTATGACACTGGATTGACTACCTCGGAGCTAAATGCTCTGTACAAAAGCGTTTAGCAACTTAAATGACAAGTATAGTAATGTTCAGACAGTCTTAAACTATCACTGAATCCAAACGAAACACCACAGCCACTGTAGTCATGATAAGACAGGGTAGGGGCTAGCAATTTCAAATCTGTCACGTAACAAAGTGCTAGCAGCCTTAAAACCAAATCCTATATATGTAGATGTGCAAAAACCACAAAAGGACCCCGAAATAGCAGTAGTCATGATCAAGCAGGGCAAGATCAGTCTAATGCCATCACTAAATCCAACACAAACACCTATACTGTAATGGCCAGTAGTCATGATCAGACAGAGCAAGATCAGCCTCATGTCATCATCGAATCCAACACACACACCACATGTGCCGCAGTAGCCAGTGGTAATGATCACCACTATGAAGATGTTGATAACCATCGTGTTAAGACAGGGCAGGGACAGTATCAGGCCATCACTGAATCCCTGGCTGCTAGAAGTCTTTCTTATGGCATTGGATCGACTGCCTCGGAGCTAAATGCTATGTACAAAAGCGTTGAGCAACTTTAATGACAAGTATAGTAATGTTCAGACAGTCTTAAACTATTACTGAATCCAAACCAAACACCGCAGCCACTGCATGTAATGGCCAGTGGTCATGATAAGACAGGGTAGGGGCTAACAATTTCAAATCTGTCACGTAACAAAGTGCTAGCAACCTTAAAGCCAACCCCTATGTATGTAGATGTGCAAAAACGACAAAAGGACCCAGAAATAGCAGTAGTCGTGATCACACATGGCAAGATCAGTCATTGGATCCAATTCAATCTTATGATATCTTATGAAACAGGGCGTCCGTTCTGACTGCCTTGCAGCTAAATTCTCTGTAGGAAATGTTGAAACACTACAGAAACACCATGATTTCCACAAGAAACTTAATATAGAGTGAAGGTGACAGATGGATCATCGACAAGACGATGTTGGCTGCCCATACCAAAGAAAGAAAGAAAAGAAGACGGTGACAGTCTTATAAGACTGATGAATTTTCAAAATTAGTCCTTTACACCAGTAATAACACTTACTGTAGTGGTTTTCTCTATTTGCACAATGTAAGAATATTGGGGCTGTAACTGTTGATAGCAGTTTTATAATAGTAAAACGTTAAACTTTATTCCAGCATACAATTGTACAGAGATCAAATTTTCAGCGACCACTGACGCCTTCATCAGGATAATTAATGACCAATCACTTCATAACGTGTTACGGTTTACGACACGTATCAGTAAAGTCTCGTGTGAAAAAGGTCACGTAACTCTCGCGAGATCACGTTGTGAAGTGATTGGTCATTCATTATCCTGATGAAGGCGACAGTGATCGTTAAAAAATTGATCTCTGTACAATTTTGTGTTGGAATAAAGTTCAACGTTTTACTATGACTACTACCGAATACAGATGCACTTTTATGATAAGCAGTTTTTATTATTGATAATGTTATGGTCTGTTTTATAGATCATTGTATTGCAGTGTTATTTTGGAATGCAGATGAATATCAATATTATGTTCAGACACAATATTTCTGACTGGACTACTAACCCAACTGGTGCTTTATGGCTCAAAAGTACCCAATGTAGGATCATTGCGTCAATGCTGAAAGTATTCTGTATGAAGCAAGCTGTATTAAATGTTTATTTAATGTTTAGCAACTCATGCCTGACGGCTGATTGAAAGAAAACACACATAGTGGAAAGAGGTGAAAAATGGCTAGTTCATAGATTTAACATTATACCAGGTGTATTCACGGGGTATATTACTTTTTACTGAGGGATTTGAAATTTTTCTTAGACATTGGCTAATCAATAGCCCTACATTTTTAACCCTATCTAGACTTGGGGGGGGGGCTTAAAGTACCCGCGCCAACAACTTCTAATAACGTCCAAACGGCTTGTGCTAGGGCCACCAAACTTGGTGACTTTTCCTAAAATATTGTTGCCAACAATTTCATACCAGTGAGATAAATTAATAATTTTCAACGGGTTTCTGACATGCATCTTTTGGGGCAAAAATCAGTAATTTTGACTTAATGAAATTTTCAGGCTTTTATGTTAATCTACACATGCCTTCTTATATTGATATCATCTTATATGATTTCATGTAATTTTATCAATGATTATGCATAATTTTAGGATGTCGTTGGCCAAAATCTAATCCCCCCGAATGAGCCTTCCCCCAGTCCCAAAGATCCCATTAAAAAGCCCAGTTATTGTTTACTCGTTTTTGTTTTTTTGTAATTTTAAATGTTAAATGTGTTTTTGGTGATTATTTTAGCTTTATGACAACTGCCTAAAAGATCATTACAATGAGAAAAAGTTTAAGTGAAGCAATTTCTCTATCCATGCTTGTACTCATTTAAGTAATAGAGCACGGTAGCTCTGTGCGCTGGAATAAAAGATGTGTTGTGTTCAACCATGCCATCACTGACCTTTATATATGTGTATGTTCACAAAATCTGACCATTGGGGTAGGAGATGTAAAATCTCCCAGGTTGCATAGCGCCAGTTTGTTGGAATTATGTGTTTCTGTGGAATCATTACATTCGACAAGAAGGTTATGTTTTCAGAGCCGTCTGTGGACACGGTAACTTTAGAAGGTTTGAATCGATTGTTTTGATACTTGATAGTTGGGTAGGTCTTGATGAACCTTAAAATGATTAGATTTTGGACCGCCTAGCGGCTTGTAATGGTACTGCAGCTGAACATCCGGTTTTTTATATCTCATGATCTACACATGCTAGAGTGACGACATTTGAGTGGTAGGTAGCTCCTGTGCTGGGAAAAAAAGTGACGTGAGTTTGTCCCCCTTAGCGGCTTACTCTAGAACTGCATGGCTATCTGTTTAAAAAAATTCAAAAGAGGATAACTCAAGAAACGGTTAACGGATCGTCGTGATTTTTGATATGTAGGTAGCTTGCGTGACTGTTTGATATGATTATGTGACAATAATGCAAATACGGAAGAATTTGCATAATAAATAAAAAAATTCTGTAAATCAGCTTCATTCCATGAAAGGACTATTGAAGCTTGTGTCATTAGTAATTGAGAATTAATTAAGTAATTGAGAAAAAAGCAGATATTTATTATGTAAATGAAGACTTAATTTGCATAATTAATAAGAAAATGTTATAATCATGTAATGATAACTGCCTGGAATTTCATACTTGCGGAATTTGAAAGTTCTGTATTAAAATCAGGACTCCATTGCATAATTTATGAGAAAATGCTAGAATGTCATTGTTTGTTGATATAAGATTCTTTTGGTTGAGAATGTGATGAATTGATATATTTCGTGAAAATGAGGGTCCTATTTGGACAATCAGGGGGAATGATCTATAATTTATCATTCAAAAAGATTAACATCGTTTGGCGAAGGTATGAGATCGGAGAACTCTAGTTTCTTTGCATTTTTAAACCTGCAGCTGGTTTTCCCGAACGGAGCACCGACCAGAGCGCTTGTCCCGCTAGTCGGAAAAAAAGCAAACAAACGAATACAGTAGACTAAGAGTTCTTCGGTTATAACTGTATATTCCACAGACACTTTACAGACATATCCTTCACCCCCATGAAACTCCTTCCTCT